TGTACATCCAAAGGTAGCTAGCTTAGAACAGCTTCGTTTTGATCTTTGCCGCTTTAACTGTACATAAGTTCCACTTCATGTTGTTTCCTGCCATTGGTTTTCAACTTTTTGTCCTTTGATGATCTTTGCCATGCGTCTTATCTAAAGAACCACTTGATTATTCAAATTGCCTGACAATGCCTGATATCATAGACTAGTTCAACACCAAGGAATGTTTGCACCCGGGAGAATTTTAAATACCGAGAAACTTTTCTATGACCAGATTTCGCGGTGTCTTTTGCACTGCCCTCTTGCTCCTGGTTGCCAACGGACCGTTTCAGCAGCCCACCCCTCCACCCAGGCAATCAAAAGCAAATGTATGGTGCAATCCGCCTTGAAGGTGATCTTAGCAAGGAACTGGATCTCACCAGGCTGATCTTGTTAAAGAACGGTTACCCTGAAAATGGTAAATCAAGGCCTGGCAAATCCATGGCGCGTCCACAATGTCGCCTCTCACCTGATGGCGACATATACTTCACCTCATGATGAGTTCATAAGCTGAGCGAAAAAAATTATGACGCAATGCGTCAAAAACCTGTCTAAATATTGCATTCAACCCAGTTACAACACTTTTCAATCACCTCAGTCATCTGAAGATCAATAAACTGGAGGAGCAGAAGCAAGAATAGCTGTACAAGTTTCTCTTTTCATGCAGTGCAATGTCCATAGATGAAACGGACAACAACTTTGAAGAAAAAATGTCCATGCAGGAAAGAAACTTCATCAGATGGAAGAACGTTGGTATGAATGGTGAAAGTCTCAAGAAAGTAGGCAGAAGACGGACAAAGGCGCCAAAGATTGCAGAAAGAATGTGACAAAACTTCAGTCATAGTAGAAAATGCTATAAACAACCCTCAAACGATATCTTGGGACAAGAAGAAACGATTTGTGCAGGAGAACGATATCTCCTCCGTAAAATCCAGGAATCAGACATATCAGTCGCGACCTGGGCGCAGATAGCGAAACGCGGACCCAAAGCATGAAACGGTCGCTTTCGAATGACAGCAGGTACCGCATGATTAATAATACCGGTGAACTCAACACCGCGTAAAAATGACGCCGTATGAAACCTCATTATTTCCCTGAAGACCGACCGAGGTTGACCCGAAGCGTGAAGACCTTTGCTTCATGCTGAAAAAATTGTGCTCTGCTATGCCGTTTGTGATTTGCGGAAACACAATAAATATGTAGATAGCTTTATGTGTGCGGATAGTGACATTTCTATTGATTTTGGAACAGGATTTGTTCGAGCAAACAGAATGAGGAGATTTTGCACCCATCCTTTGCAGATGGTTCGTCATCATGGACTCCTGACATGCTTAAATCGTTCTCTAAGCCAGTAAAACAAAGGATGGCGTGAATTTGCACAGCAAATCTGAAAAGCGATAGAAAGTTCTCATTCTCTGCAAAAATGGAAAGTTTTCCATTAAGTCTGTTGGCCACATTTCTCAACGTTAACTTTTGCAATGACCCTCTTTGCTTTTAAACTGCGTTTGTGCATTTCACTACATTCTTGTCTCGTTTCCTTTCCGACCTCGGATCTCTGGTTCAGGTCTCTAGTTATCCTTTGACTCAGAGGCTAGGTACTGAGTTATCGTTTAACAGTTCGATCCAATATCGGCGTGCTGGTTTTAAAATGTAGAGTCGTTAAATCGCATTTGCATCACATATCTTGCAACGTTTGCTTCTGCTATGGTAATGAGGCCGGTGATCGCAAGTCCGCCATGAAACACTGAACCTGGCGTGCATGGCAATGAAGCTACGTCCGACGCATTGACGACAGCATTAAATCGGCTTTCGATCAGACCACAACTTCGTTTGCAAAAACTATCCAGGTTCCACCTGACGTGCATGTGTATTATAGACTACCATTACTAAGGCAGCAGCTGAGCCCGTTTGATATCGTGCCGATCGAAGACGATGCCTATTCGCTACCGGAACACTTCGAAAAGAAGCTGAGCGGCAATAGCCGAGGTCGACTGAACCCAGCAGACTACGGAATAGCCAGTTTTCCTGACTACTGGCACGACAAATCAACCAGCAGCGCGGCAACGCAGGTAAGCGTATATGATCCTCCTCCGGCATTACCGTAATTTGAGTCTGCATGTACCATCAGCAAAACTGACAAATTTTTCCGTCCCTTGGCAGTTGCTGCGAAAGCCAGGTTTGCATCTTATGAATGGACAGCTGCAAGCGTCAAAGATCACGATACCAAGAAAGTTGAAGATGTGCTTCTCATCATCAATAAGAAATATACAAGCATCGACCCACAGACGACATGAATGAAGTCTGACCTACATGTTTAAGCATGGAGCAAATAGCAAAGATCTTTTATCGCCTTTCAATGAGTGAAAAATGTGATTTTTTCTTGCAAATCTTGGTTTGCTGCATGTTATACTTATTAATCTGAACTATGGTATTCGACCGATGAAAATGATTGATTATCAAGTTCCATTTAAAGAGTATATAATACAAATCGAGAAAATGCCATTTAATAGCTGCCTTAAAAACTCATAATCATTAAAAATTATCTGATAATTTTTGTAGCTAATTTAATCAGCTCCATTCAACATGTATTCAACCATCAAACCGCCTGCCGAAGCCAAATAAGCATATCGCTATTGATATTTTTTTATTCTTTCAGACTTCAAATCCTGACTCTGGGATAGCAGACATCTATGAACCTCTAGCGGAAGAAAAAACGGAAATGAAGAAAGAGGAAGCTAACGTTGCGAAAAAGGAAGAATCTCCCCCATATAAGAATTTGCAGATGGAGATTGCCGATCACAAGAGAGTCATAAAGGTTTGGAATATTAAATTATCGCCAATTGCCGATCATGTATCATTGAAGTTTCTTTCCAAGAAGCACATTTCTTTACGTCGACCAAAGTGACAACGTTACTGAGAGCTAGCGAAGAAGCCGATGATTTTTTCAGTAGATCGAAGCAGACCAGTCGAAAATAAAAACCTTGGTTTGATTACTCGCTATTCAGTCGTCCGAGGCAGATTGGTGAGAAAAATGCATGAGACTGAATGTGAACTGGCCATCGAGTTATGGATATAGCCATAGAAACAATAAGCATACTGAGTTGATGGCATAATAACACTTTTAGACCGCACCATAAGGACAATGAAAAATGGTGTCATTAATAGCACCCAAAATGTAGCCATAGGAAAGAGCAACATATCACTGATTAAATATTTTCATTTCCTATGCTGGAGTGTGCTTTTAATACCAGCTGCTGTGAGTCAAAACCATTTTTATGAGACTATCAGTCAGCGAGGCATTGGTAACTAGGAAATGACTGATCTTCTTATGCTCATAAGAAATACCTATCTGGAGAAACGATGCAGCTACTCTAAGCCAAAAGTGAAGAACGAGGGCTGATGGTTGTATCAGTTCTTTAAGGAGGAACTTAATGATCTCACTGTTGAGTGTCCACACTTTGTGCTGGGTATCACACTGGATAGTCAACTACTGGATGGGGTTAAGGTGAATTGCAGTCAAATAAGCCAATTCGATCAGACAACACGATCTTACCTCTCCTCCACTCTGATATGACCACTCTTGAATACCGTTTTGCCCTTTTTGTCTGCAGGTTGACGACTTGCAATCATTTTTTTTTGGAGGATGTTAGATCGTTGCTTGATGGCATTAGCCGTTAAGAAAAATAGGTTACCTTCTGAGTTAAAACCTGTTGCCATTGTGCCATCGAGTCAAATGCCGTCTGAATCTCAACCAAAGAAAAAGAAGCTCTAAATTTCTCTGAAGGCTTCCAAAAATAGAAAGAAATTAGCATCATTCAAGTCCTTAGGGCGACACACAGCACCGGAAGACAAAATGAGTTTTTGCTTCATGCCGTAAAGCCTAAAATGGAGGGCGCATTCATGACATTGCAGAGTAGCCAGTCAAGGAGTGCTAGGAGATTTTCTCTGATACGACACTGGAGCTATGACCTCAGAAGATTTTCAATTTGGAAGCCTGTTTCTCAAGTTTTCCTGTAACCTTTGAAAACCAGATGTTCATTCAGTTGTTTTATTGGTAGCACATGCACATTTTTCTACATCAGGAGCAGGAAATAAACCCTCAGATCTAAAGCCACTTAACACAGGAATGCTTTGAAGCATTTCAGGTGCTCATGTTTCAGAATCTTTCCGGTTATGCATACAAATAAATAAATTTTATAAACTAATTCACATTTACGCTTTATGCTGATTTTTAGTCAGCATCAAATGGGTTATAAAGAACTGCAGCCGTATAGCGCATTGAACAGGCAGTATGGTCAAGTGTCTCTTAGTCTGTGGCATGACCATACCGAAGCACTACACTCTCCCCACTACGCGCAGGTTCAGCGATCTGCTGTCAGTTTTTGGCTCGTTGGTCAGAAGCCTATCGGGACGAATTTTTTGCTCAAGAGAATTATCCGTTAATAAGAGAAAATTCACGCCGCTCCTTAGGTTTAAAGTGCAAGGCATATTATTAACCCACTGCGCTTCTGCCTTCCCATATAATATATCATGACGGAAACATTAATTTAAATATACCTAGGTTATGTCTAAGCATACTGATTACGATGCTTTTAGGTCAGCGATCTGAATCACCCAATCGACAGGACCTTTAGGGTAATGATGGCTGGTGACAGTTCCGTGGGAAAGTCGTCGATAATCTTACGAATGGTCAGGGATAGTTTTAAGCCCTTCATGTCAGCAACGATAGGTACAGTATTTAAACTGCTGTCACATTGCGTTGCCTTAATGTGAGGAATTCGTTGCTTCACGTTTTCTGAAGGTCTCAATCAACTGATTTAAAATCTAAATTTAAAGCTTATCAGTTTTTAAAACTTTTCCTTGGGCGATGAAGTATGTTTCATTGATGGCTTAACCTTTCCTGGTTTTTCATTCAGCTTTTGAAATGATTGATTCATTGCATCAGCTGCTATCATCGAATTGAATATGAATTGAATGTTGCTTTATTACTTATTATTATTTAGATTATTCAGGGCTTTTCATAAGTTTTTGACATCGACTGTAAACAGTAAACGTTATCATATATTTTTGAACAATATCCTACAGTATTGAGGTTCCAGACAGGTTTTCACTACAATTACTGCGTCTCAGGAATTAAGCCGTGCTTTGCCGTGTCGTGTGGTCCGGTTCTTTAGTGGCTGATCATTCTCAGCTCCAGCGACATGCACGATTAAATTGATTAAAACCTCTAAATGTCATAGTCAGCGTAATATTCAAACTCAAAAGTGTTTTAGATATAAATAGATAAATAAAAATCGATTCAATATGTTAAAATAATGGAAATTTAAAAAAAGGTAAACTTTTTCGTCAATGAGCTACAGATTTACTTCTCATGCTGCTTGTCACATAGGAAATAAAACCGCACTAGTAAAGATCTGTCCGGAATCTTGCAATGATTGACTAAAAGAGTTGTGTGGAATGAAAACGTACAATTCCCTGGTATCCCTAAGAAAAGTCTTTTGCAGAAAAGCATACTAAAATTTCATAACGGAGTAGGAGGGGAGATTGATTGCCAATACTGACTCATAAGTGGAGTGCATTTACACAATGCGTTGTCTAATCTTTAGAGACATAACAAGATTATTGAATGGAAACTTGGAGAATGTCGCTATCAGAGGACACCCAGCACTTCGAATATTACTAGACTTCTGAGCAAGCACATTTTGAACTCCAATATGGTAAAGGCCAATTTCTTGCGCATATCCCAAGATTTAAAATGCAAAAAGAGGAGCGTTTATTTCTCAGTTTTGGCAAGATATGATTTAATAATTATCTCAATGCGTAACAGGCATATCAAGTTCTCGGTTGATAAGGAATAAATCATTCTGCTTACATTATTACGCGTACATTATTAAGCTGTGACCGTTCAGTCTAATTGCTGTTCACAGCAAAGCAGAAACTTATAAAAATCGGTCAGTAAAGTAGGATTTTCACACGACAAGAAATAAAAAAATGTCGATGGCATTTTCAGTATGAAAATTAATGTTTTTACCACCGAATAAAAGTATTACTTAGGTGTTGATTTTCATGTAAAAATTTTACCAGTGGATAACAGATGGGTTGCCTTGGAACTCTGGGACACTGCAGGACAAGAAAGGTGATTGTGAAACAATACTTGTAATCCCACGTTTGCCAAAGAACTTTTTATTTAGGTTTCGTAGTTTATGTCGGTCCTACTTTCGAAGGGCCGATGCTGTTATACTCGTTTATGACTGCTCAAACGTGGACTCGTTTCTGAATGTCAGAG